TAATACGTCCATCCTTCTATTTTTGGGTCTCGTTTGTTCTTTTGCAAGTTGCTTTAAATGTAGTATTCACTTGTGTATCTGGGATTTTTTTCTGCTTCTGAATGAGGGCCTGTATTGCAGTTGTCATTTGCCATTCCTTTTAAGACCACTTTGCTGCAGTCCCTAAATTCTGATAGCTTCTATCTTCATTTTTATTAGTTTCAAGGTATTTTTTAATTTCTCTTTTAATTTCCCCTTTTATCCAGTAGGTATTAAAATATGTATTGTTTTGCCCCTATATTTATTTTTTTTTTTCCCCTGCTTTGTTTTTGTTTTTCTAATACTGATTTCCAGCTATATTGCATTAAGGTCAGAAAGAGTACTTGATACGATTTCAATTTTTGTAGTCTTATTGTTGACTTGTGTCCCAACATAGCATCTATTCTTTAAAAAGTTCCACATACACTTGAAAAAAACGTGTGTGTGGCATTTTTTGGGTGGAGCTTTCCATGGATGTCTGTGTTGATAAATTCTTTTAGTTTTTGCTTTTCAGTAATGCTCCTTATGCTTTCATTTGTCTTGAATGTTAACCTTCAGGATAGAGGAGTCTGGGCTTGAAATTTTCATCTTTGAGAACTTTAATTTCTTGCTATTCTCTTCTTGTCTATATGGTTTCTTCTGAACAGTTATGGACAGTCTGATTGGTATTCCTTTATAGTGTACTCTTTTTTTCTCTCCATGGCTTTAGTATTCTGTTTATTACTGGTTTTCAACAGTTTTATTATAATGTGTCTAGGTGTGTTTATGTCTAGTATTATTTTGTTTGAAACTCTTGGATCAGGACATCTGGTTTGTTTTCCAGGTTGACATGGTTCTCAGCAGTTATTCCTTTAAATAAATTTTCTATATCTTTGTCTATTTTTCTTATGGGATCCCCATCATATGGGGATTTCTCTCTTCAGTTATCCCAAAGGGCTCTTTTTCTTAATCCTTTTTTCTCTTTGTTCTGTTTGTTTGTGTTCTGACATTGTGCTTTGAGCTCACGCCATTATTTGTATTTGTTTTGCTTTTGGGGCCCCTTACTTTTTTTTTTTTAATTAATTTGTTTATAATACTTTTAGATCCTTCAATTCTAACTATCTTATGTTTGGCCAGTCTTTATTCTTTTCAGGTATATTCTGTAGTTCTACTGCAGTGAGACTTCTCTCATATTTTTGCTCCAGCATTTGTGATATGTTCTTTTTTCTCTTCATTTTTCATTTTCATAGGTTGTAGTAGGAAAGACTGCTGCCTTTGCATCTGTTTAGATGGCCAGAGAACTGGTACCAACAAGGAGTAATAGGTAGAAAGGAACCAGGGTATTTCTTAAGGGTTGCTTCCAGTGAGCGTCAATGATTTAAGCTTCCTCCTGTGCTGTAGGTATCAGAGTTGTGTGGTGGGCATCCATAGTGATCCCCTTCTCTAAGCCAACTCCCTGGACTAAGTATCTTGTCTAGTCTGGTACCAGCCTCAGCCTCTAGGCTGTTTTGAGATGCAAGCTGGGCATTGTTTTCTTTGGTTTCCCAGTGCAGAGCCTTACCCTGGGGTGTGTGCTCCTATTGTTAAGATCCAAGTGATTAAATGTTGGTTAGTGAAAGCATTCAGTTGTCTTGATTTGGGCTCTGAATAGGGGGAGGGTGGCAGGTGCTTAGAATATGCAGTCTCAGGCTGCAAATATTAATAGCCTGGTCTATGAGAGGACATAGGTGATGAGAAGTGGCTCTTATGCCTCTCTCCCTCTCTCTCCACTGGTTTGGTATCTAGCTGTTCTGTACTGGAGCCCCAGGCTTAAGCCAGGAGCAGTATACCCCTGCTGCTTTCCAGGTAAACTCACTAACTAGTAATTGGAGACTTTTGTTGAGCCATTTGTCTGGCATTACTGTACAACAATATCCTAGAAGTAGGTAGACATTATAAATAATGTGACAGTTTTTGGAAATTAGTTAGATAATTGAAATTTTATTTTTACTCGAAAAAGAAAATTGCTGGGATGTATGGTTGATCTTAATTTTCCTTGATGTACATGTTTAAAGTCTTGAATTCAATTGTGTATAGTTTTTTTTTTGCATACTTGTTAATTTTTTTTCCCCTTAAAATCTTGTGCCTCCTAGTTCATTAAGTTTATTAAGTGACCTTATGTGTGCTGTCTTACAATCACAGCTCCCATTTGTGTGTTACAGAGTGCATAATCTCACTGCACTGACTATGATTCTTGTTTGGAATATTCAGTTATTAATATTAAAGCAAAACTGTTCCTGTGAGCATCATTTGAAGAGGTTAGCATGCATGTAGGGTCATGTTGTATTTGACTTAATTTCATGTTTGTTCATTGTGGCTCCTCAGGATACAAAATTCATTGCTAATGTTGCTAGTAAGAGGAACATCAAGTAATTGACCTGGAAATAAAATTAAAAGTTGCTAAGGACTACAAAGGTGGAAAATTATGGTGAACATCCTTACCAGTCAGTCATGTCCCATTTCACCTTAGCTACAACCTTGAACAAGAACAAAACTATTAAGGGTCTGCTTTGTTGAAAGCAATGAGACTATTAAAATTTGAGAAAGACCTAAGTGTAAGATATATAAAGATTTCTAATGACCTAGATTGAAGATCATACACAGATGTTTATTCCTCTCAGCACCATGATGAACATGACCAAAGTAAAAAGTTTGTGATGTTGGGGAATACGAGGTTTGAAACAAAAACGCCTAACCCTGATCATGATGTTTAATTTACTATGAATTCTGTGTGTTTTAAACAATTGATTATTATGCAACGTGAAAATGATCGCTAAACAAAACAAGAAATGTTTGGAAACTCTAGATATGTCGATTGCGAAAGAAAAGTACTGTAGACCAAATACTCTGTTATTTATGAACAGAATCTCCTGTTCTGGAAACAGATACCTAAAATGATTTTCATCCATAAGGAGGCCAAATGACAGGTTTCAAGCCTTTTCAGGACAGGTAACAGTCTTTCTTAGGGGCAGTGCTTATATAATAATGCATACTTCAGAATGTGTCCCCAAAGTTAAACAACGCATGACTATATTTGCATTTAATGTAAACATTTGTATTTTGAACCAAAACATTTTTTTTATATTTTATTTTATATATATTTTTTACATCATTTTTCATTTTTGCACAATGTATGCTTTTTCATCTTGGTTATAGTAAAAATCAACAAGCAACTATAAGCGACACACTACGGGGGGAGGGGGGAAGGGGGATTATGGTTAAAATAAGGGGGGTGGGAATTGTATGGGGATTAGAACCAAAACATTTAAATCTGCTATTGTCTAGATTATTTGTTTTTTTCTGTTTCTTTTTATTTGTTTATTTCCATTTGTTTACTGCATGTTGAATTTTTTTTTAAGATTTATTTATTTATGCAAGAACTGGGGTACAGGTCAGAGGCGTGGGAGGATGAGAGAATTCACCAGAGACAGAGCGGGGAGCAGAACAGACAGACAGACCAAAGACACTGCTGAGGGGAACAGCGGGCGAGGCAGGAGAGGTCTGCCACGCCATGTGGGTTTCTCCCTGGCAGGCCGGGAATCGAATCCGCTCTGCAGAGGCTGCGGACAGCTTCACGGTGCAGCGTTCAACCTGCTGTGACACCAGGGAGACCCCCTAGTTGAATATTTTTAATTGTTTTTTTTTTCTTTTTTTCACATGGAATAACTGGGGTATGGGGGATGAGAGGATTCACCAGAGACAGAGTGAGGAGAGAACAGGTGCATTTACTGAAATGCACTGCTGAGGGGAGCAGTGGGCGAGTCAGGGCCGTATGTGAGTCAGGTCTCTTGCCGGGACTAACCTCAGGCCCCAGAGTGGGTAGCTCTGAGACTTAACCCCTAAGCCATTAGGGATTCCCTCAGTTGAATATTTTTTATGATTTTTAAAATATTCTATTTCTCTTTTACAAACATTTGTGGTGATAGCCCTATATTCTATATTTTCAGTCTTTTTTTTTTTTCCTGTTTACTCAAGTTTGGGTACTTTTAAAGTGTATCTTTTAAGTTTCCTTCATTTCTTCATTCAGCTGTCTGAATTATTTGGCAGAATTTATTGTTTCCTATCATCTCGTAATTTTTTTCTAGTAATTTTTATTGAATATTTAATATTTTGAATTTTATATTGTTGAGTCCCAGGTTTTATTGTGTTTCTGTTAAAGAGTATGCGACTTTGTTCTGTCAGAAGTTCACTTGGATTTGGATCAACTTTATTCTTCTGTGGCTTGTTTTTAAGTTGTTACAGAATGAATTTAGAGTAGTATTTTGGTGTAGTTTAGCCCCATCTCCAAGACTTAAACTTTCTGATATATCCACTCTAAGCTCTGGATAGTCAACAGGGACTTGCCACTTGTGTGTAAGTTCTGATGACTGTAAGCCTTGCAAACTCTTCAACTTATGTAATTCTTGTCCATCCTCATGGAATTTTTAATCTATGCATGTGACTTTTTCCAGAACAGACCAAATTGGACACCTATGCAGGTATCTTGAGCTCTTTTTTCATGTAATTTCCGCTCCATCTTACAAATTTAGCTCCCTTGGCCTTTCTGAATTCTGATTTCTGTTTCCTCAATTCAAACTCAGTGAGATAGATCTCTATTCTTTTCTTGGGGTCACTTTCCTGCACTGAGATTCAAAAATTGCCTTTAGGCAGATGTAGTGATATCTGGAAAGTATCTCTAGGTGGAAAGTGAAGGCAAATGTCTGGCTTATATACCATTTTATTTTCACAACATTTTTCATCTACAGTTAGTCTGAAATACCTAATCTGTGGTTGTTTAGAGAATGTGTTGTCTTTGAAAAATTTAAAGCAACTGTTACTGAATATGCAGTCTTCAATTGTGTCATTAATAAAAATTAAGCTTATATATTCTACCATATTTTCCCCTTTGCATGACAATCCATTGCCTATTGTAGTTTAAAAAATGAATTTACCATTAATTGATTGTTTAATTTCTAATTTTTTAGACCTAAAGATTGTCTTCGGTCTATTATGAGAAGAGTGAACCATAAAGATCCTCATGTTGCTATGCAAGCTCTGACTGTGAGTGGTTTCATTTTAAGTTCTACCATAAAATTATCTTTCAAAATTGAGCTTTTTTAACTTCTAATTTTATGCTTTTAGCTTCTAGGAGCATGCGTATCGAACTGTGGCAAAATTTTTCATTTAGAAGTGTGTTCAAGAGATTTTGCTAGTGAAGTAAGCAATGTATTAAACAAGGTAAGGAACATTGTTTTCAGAAATGAATTAAGGCAGCTGTACTTCATGTATGTATTTTGTAGTTCAGTTCTTCACATTTGAAATCATAAAATTATTTAAATGACTAGGTGGTGTTTGTTTTTTTAACCCTTGCTAAGCTATGTCTATCCAATATCTAAGTATTTATTATGTTTTGACTATAAATTTATATAGCTGAGAGTTGCGTTTTTTCCCAAGCTAAATTAGAGTATTTAACCTCTTTTTTCTTTTTTCCTTTGATCTGATAAGAAAACATGTTTCTCTCTCAGATTAAAGAATACCAATCTATTTTAGGCATACTTTTAAAATCATTTTTGTAGCCACAGAGGTGTTTTCTAGATGTAGGACTGCTTAGAAATACCATTGTTTTGTTTTCATCTTGACATAATAAGGCCACTACCTGACCATTACAAAATTTGATACTATACTGACTGCTTAATTGAATATAGAAGAAAACATTCAAATCCCACAATTCAAAGCATTTAAAAGTCTTAGATTACTAAGTAATTTGGGAGTTTTCCCCATGAAAATGAGTACATCTAAAAGTAATTCTGCCTTTTTTGTTTTTGACATATATTAGGAGAAAAATTTAAAGTCTTGACAGTGAAAATGCTGCATATGTTTTTTTGAAAATAAATATTTCCACATTTCAAATGAAAAAAAAAGTGCAGAAATGTGATAAGAATTTTAAATTCTGTACTTTTTTCAAACATATGATTATGTGAAAATTTTTTTCCTGTTTGCTTCTTTTCAGTTATACTTTGTATTTTCTTTTGATTCATAAACAGTTTTTTAGTGTCCTCAGTGTCCATCAAAATATACAGTTGTGTATGATAAACAGTGCATTTTAAAAGTGTACAACTTTCTATGAAGAGATTTTCACATCTTTTGTAACTTAACTGAAGATGTGGCGCTCATAACTAGTTAGTAGTAACACTACAACTATTTGGGAAAGCAAACAACTACTTAGAGAAGGACTTTGTATTTCCAAATGTTTTACAGTGAACATAATTGGTTTTATAATGAAAGGGAAGACATTGTTTTGAAAAATGACATATCAGGAATAATGACATACTTTAGACCTCAAATCAGGCATGAAACAACTTGGGAAGTAAACACAGTCATGCACATTAAGTCAGGAATTAAGGGCCTCCCCTGGTGGGGCAGCGGTTGAGCGCTGGTTTGCAGAACTGCCTGCAGCCTCTGCAGCGCCGGTTAGATCCCCGACCTCTGGCAAGGGTCTCACATCGTGGGCAGACCTCTCCTGCCACGCCCACTGCTCCCCTCAGCAGTGTACTTCGTCAGTCTGCCTGTTCTGTTCCCCACTCTGGCTCTGGTGAATTTTCTCGCCCTCCCACGCTTCTGACTGTACCTAGTGCTTGTATAAATAAATAAATAAATCTTTAAAAAAAAAAAGTCAGGAATTAGGTATTAAGGATCATTAACATTTATGTTTTCCCTCCAATTTATTTTTTATTGGTCTGCAAAAAGATAAACCAAATGACATTTCTTTGTCTTGCATGCTTAGCTTTAATATACTTTAAAAAGTTATGTCGTCTTGACCTTCAAAATAAGTTGCTGCATATTTGATCTGTTTTTATTTGAAATGAGGTATCCTTTTTAATAGTGTGAAAATAAAATTAGTTTATTTCTAGTGATCAACTGTATTTTCTTATTTTCACATGTGTCATCTGTAGCTAGTAATAATTTGTGATTCAAAAGGTGATCTCTACAACACTTAATTTTTGTGTTCAGGGTATATGTATTAAATCATTGCCCAGAGAATTAGTACTTATTAATAATTTTTTTCCCTCTATTTTTAGGGTCATCCTAAAGTGTGTGAGAAACTAAAGGCTCTTATGGTTGAATGGACAGATGAATTTAAGAATGATCCACAGCTTAGTCTAATATCAGCAATGATTAAGAACCTTAAGGAACAAGGAGTTAGCTTTCCAGCTATTGGCTCTCAGGTATTTTGAAAAGTTCTGTGTACTACATACAGTTTTTTATTTTAAAATAACCGTGTTTGTTTAAATTTTTATTTTTCCCTCCAAATCCAATTAATTTGTACTACACCAGTGGAATGCCTGTTAATAGTAATTACCTCATATTCAGAGATTCAAGAAAAATATTATTGTGGAATATTAATGTGTCCCAACTTCTACTTTGCATTCTTTATAAATGAACAGGTTTAACATTCTGCAGTTGAAATATTTTACACAGTTTTAATAGTATAGAGAAAATTGCTTCATTTTAGTAACACTGATGATCTTGTTAAATGTTTTATGCTATGATTTTATCTTCTAAGAACGATACCTCAAAAATCATATCTACTTAAAATTTAAGGATGATTTTAGTGGTTTTTTTGGCTGAGATTTTTGAATACTTACATTAAAAATGGTAAGGAAATACAAGGGGCCAGTGAGGAGGGAAGCACATGAAGCAGCTTTTCCCTTAACAAGACCTGGCAAGTGTATCACTCTTCTTCCTTTCTCCTAATAGGTATAATTGATTAAAAGGTTTAACTTCTTCTTCCAAAAAAGTTTACATAATATATTTCACAGAAAAAAATGAAAGGATATCTTTTATATTTTTATTTTCACTAAGCATTATGTAGGATACCTAGCTAATCAAGGGGATTTAAGATATGTGGTAATTTACTGTCTTTCCCCACTGGATGAACAAAAAGCCCTCAGCTGCAGAGGGCCCAATTTTGGAATTTGACCACTTCAGGAAATCTTATAGACTATTCACCTTTATCCAGACTTAGCTAGCATTTTTTTCTCAAGACCTTTTCAGTTTATGTGAGTGCACTTGAAATGTAAAGAAATGAGATATATTTGGGAGATGAAGGAAGCAAAATACATTTTTCTTCTTACTTAAAAAGTTTGGTTGTAGTTTAGTTTTATAATAATATAATAAATTATGTCTTTGAGAAGTATTCCTTCTTATTTGATAGCTGAGTTTTACTATTCTCACAATAATTTCTAAACTATATCTTTTTTACATTTTCATTTTATTTTTTATTTTATACATTTTTTAACATTTTTCATTTTTGCACAATGTATGCATTTTCATCTTTGTTATAGGCCTCATACAGTTTCCACCCCCCTTGTTTTGATCCTACTCCCCAACCTCACCCCCTAGTGTGTGTCTGGTTTATAGTTGCTTGTTGATTTTGATTTTTACTTTATTATAATTAATCTTTTTCCTGGTCCTTTATTTAGGTTTTCTAAATTCCTGCTATGAGTGAGACCGTAAACTGTAAAGGATAATTTTATGCAGAATAATATGTGGGTACCTTATAATAAGTTTCTTAACAAGTGGAAGCAATGTTTAATTGTCAAAGAATGGACTTATTATAGAAAACAAAGAGTATAGATGCTTAGTGGATTAGCATTTCCAAATCCTGATAACTTATTTTAGAACTTGTAACTCAAAATGTGGTTTGCTGGCCATTACCATCATCAGGAAGCTTGTTAGAAACCAGTAAATAGCAGGTGCTACTCCAGGTTTGTGGATTCAGTATCTCCATTTTAACATGATCTTTGGATAATTCTATAAACATGTAAAAGTTTGAGAAGCACTGCTCTTGAATACAGCCTTCAGTGCAACTGCACTTCAGTCAACAAAGGCAATTTGTTCTATAAGAGGAGGAAGAAGAATGAATGATCTGTTTGGTATGTGGCTTCATTTGGCTAACCTAGAATCTCAGATATTTGTGGGAACAACTTTAGAGATTCTCTAATCTAATCCCCTCATTTTACAGATGAGGAAACTGAGACCCAGAATGGTTAAGTGACTTTCCCAGGGCCACAGCTAGTAGTTGACAGAGCTGGAACTAGAACACAGGCCTCCTGACTCTCAGTCCAGTGTTCTTTCCACTACACGATCCTGTCTTCCGTTTGCTATAGAGGTTAGTGGATATGTGTCTGTACAGACTAGGCTTCAAAGGATAAGAAGTGGAGTGAACACTGGCAAGAGCATTTATTGATTGCTTGGTATGTAAGTTAGGTCACTTGTTCAAAAGAGTCAGGATGTGAGTCATCAATAGTAAAGTTAAAGTTTTCTTCTTTCTTCTAGATGTGATGAAATATGAAAGCTAATTTTGTTATAGTTGCTATCTTTTCAAATACATAAAATGTATATAAAGTAAAACATGATATATATTGGTGATTTGTTAGTAGTTTCTGAAAAGCTTATAGAAAATCATGTTTGCAGAAAGCTTCCTGTTTAATGAAAAAAATATATCATCTAGCATTAATAGTAGAACTCCCTTTAGATTTTAGTCACATAGTTGCTTAAGACATTATTACATTTTAATCAGACTAGCTCTTTCTTAGCGTATTTAACAGAAGCTTCATAAAAATGTAAGAATTTTTAAAGAATATTTTTTATCCAAATATAGAAGAAAAGAATATAAAACAAAAACTCTTAACTCATGCTGCTGCAGTACTCTCAGCATGAACTTTTCACTAGAGATAAAAGTAATGCTATCAGTGCTACTGTTTTTGACTAGTTGATAAGTCAGATATCATTACTATATGAAGAACCTGATGATAGAAAGGAACTTTGTGAAGTGTTCAGTTCTGGAATGTAGGACTTAATACACTTTTTATTTCTGTACATCCTTTTTTACTGAGAGAAATTCCCATATGCCACGGAAAGATCAGTGTGTCTGTATTGTAATAGTCACCAAATTATGAAAAAAATCCATACACAATGGAAAAAGTATCTCTGACTAAGCAGGCCTTCAGCTTTCAGAGGTGTCTGATGATTAAAACATTGCTATCTATCTAAAGAAGATTATAATTAGAGGTGGATCATACTCAATACTTAAAAGGTCTATTTGGTGAACTCCTGGAAGCTTTTTTCTGATCCACTTTTCTAAAAATAAACTGCACTTGCTTGATAGCATGAAATATACAAAGTGAGGAATATGGGGCTATATATTAGTATAATGTGAAATATTTTACCTTTCATTCATTCAGCAATCATTTATTGATTGCTTGTAATATTTAAAAGGCTCGCGCACTCAAGGAATATATAGTCTATTTGTGGAAATAGACATGTAAGCAGATGATTATAATGGAAGCTGAGATTTACATGTGATAATTATTAGAATGCTATACATGTGATAATTGTGCTATCCATATGATAATTATTAGAATTACATTTTTTTAAAACTGGTTACTGTGGGAAATAAAATATTTTTGTATAGCTTTTCAAAATCTATTTTGAGTTAGTATTGTATTATTTCATGTAAATATAGAAACTTTGCAACTGTATAGAGATATTTACTCCCGCTACAGCATCTTTTATGCCATAGCTACCATTTTATAGCTATTATTGCATTTATATACTTTATAAATCTCAGGAGACAGTGTTAATATTTTTTATTTTAAACTCCAGATGGCTCCCTTTGCACTTGGTTTTGGGAAAGATTTGTGTTAATTTAATCCTCTAGTAGCTCATGATGTATAGTTGCTATTACTATCCTTCCTTTGAAGATGAGGCACAATGAGGTTAACATATCCAAAAACACACATTAGAAAGTGATAAAAAGTGATAGGTCTGGCATTTTGAACCCAGTTGCTTGACTGTAGAGTTGTTTGACAGCACAACTTGTACTCTTAACCATGTATATCAGAGGACCTTGCTTAAGAGTTTTATTAAAGGAACACAGGAAGAAATTCCTCAATAAGGGGGTTTCGGAATAGTTCATTAAGAAAGTGATATTTTAGGTGTTTATTGACTAGTGAGTTGAAAACTCAACAGGGAAAGATGTGAATGGAGTAAACGGAACTATAAAGAGGACATTATAAATCAAGATGTAAGTTATATATACTCTAGAAATTTCTTGTAACTGATAGAATTGCTGAAAATGAGACTGGTAAGGTAGATCTGAGTTTGATTTGACTTGATTGCTATGTAAAGCCTGAGGCCACTGTGACAGAAGCTTATATATCTTAAGTGTTTATCATGTATTTATTTACTTGTAATGTATTTTCAGAATTAAGTACTTATAAAAATTTTGGTTTATGAAATAGGATAATTTCATGAGTGTTAATACTGTTATAAAAATTTGGGTTCCCAAGGAAAAATCTTGGTTCCTAATTTTTGATGTGGAAGGAAGCAATAAAATATAACTCTTGAAAAGGGGTGTTAAATTTGTAAAAATGAATTGTTTTAAAAATAGTCATCTCTTCTCCCAGTCCCTTTTCTGGTTTTAGAATTTTTCTAAAAATTTTCACATCTCTTTTAGTCTTCTCTAATTTCCATATGGTTCACTTTCAGTTTATTCTCTTTACACAAATCTGGGCAAGTACTTAGGCTGTTGCTCTAAGTGTCCAGTTGCTCTCAATCAGTCTCTTCTCAATTACTGACATCTTCAGCTTTCAAAATGGAGGCTGCTACATTTTGGGCTTTTTTCTTCTTCAGAAGTCTGTGGTAAACTAACAAGAAATCTTGCAAGTTATTAGATTAGTAGGGGTAGGAAATTTTGAGAGCAATCCTCATATTGTGTTCCTTTTTTGTGTTAGGCTGCAGAACAGGCAAAAGCAAGCCCAGCCCTGGTAGCCAAAGATCCTGGTACTGCGGCAAACAAAAAGGAAGAAGAAGATTTAGCAAAAGGTACATTTTTAAGTTCCTGATGGTGGGAAGAAGATGGCTCTTTGATTTAATATTTTTTTCCCTGAGGTAATTAAAAATAACAGTAGGATATTATAGCTACAGCTGAAATCTACTTTATTCCCCTCCTCAATATCATTTCATCTTCAGAGGAAACTACTCTTCATGTGTCTTTTCAGTATGTTACTATAATATTTTTACTATGTTATATATCCATAAATACTATCAGGTGCTTTTTTGTGTCCAACAAATTCTTTTTTCATGCATAGTATAGTTTAAATACTACTGCAACTTGTTTTTTCATGCTACAGTATGTTTGAAATGTATTAATTCAAGTTTTTTTTAGCTGTTATATAATATTTTAGTACAAACAAATATACTGTTATCTCTCTTTCCTAACAATAGACATTTGGCTTTCTGTTAAACAAATGCACTGCATGGAATATTCTTATACACAGATATGTGACTTTTTGTGTGACCAAAGTGGTGGTGCATTCATCAGGCAGGTACATCTCCAGCTTTGCTACATGGTTGTGTGTTTTCCTCTTCCATCAGCAATGTGTAGATACTGTTATTTTTCAGTCTCCCAGCAACACTTGGTACTGTTAGATTTTAATTTTTGTGAATCTGATAGTTTGGAAATGATATCATAATTTTAATTTTTACTTTTATTACTAGTGAGATTGAACCCTTTTTTTTAATGGCTATTTTCTATTCTGAGTGTTACTTTTTTTGTTGTCCTTTTTAAAAAGCATTGATATGTAGAAAGGCTTATTTTGGATCTTAATCTTCCATCTATATGATTATTGGAGATACCTAATCTTAGTTTTTGGTTTATACTTTAAGTTTGATAATGGTGTATTTTATCAAGCAAATTTTAAACTTTGGTGCAGTTAAACTTTTTGCTTGTCTGTAATTTTGGGTGGTGGTGTTTTTTGTGTTTTTTTTATTGTTGTTGTTGTTGGTTTGTCTGAAGAATTTTCCCCTAGGGAAGATACTAAAAGATGTTTTCCTATGACAGTTTTAAAACTTTGTCTTCTCATTATCAATCAATTTAGAACAGAGGTGGAAGGAAAGGGTTATGGGTTAAGATTACATTGCAGAGCCTGAGTAACACATGGTGATCATCTTCATTGGGAAAGAGTGGTGATGAACTTTATTTTGGTAGAATTTCTTAGGTGAGAATTTACTGTAGTTATTTCTAATTTCTTATTTTTATACCAGTTACATAAGAATTACTTTAGAGCAATAAAATATAGTTTCTAAGATAATTACCTTTTGAGGTTCTGATTTAGTAACTCCTCAATGAGGCTTGGACTTAACGATTTTCCACGTGATTTTTATATTATATAACACCTAAACTTAAGAAGTATTTAAAGGTTTCTATCTTGTTAAACCCAATTGTAATTTAAATTGTATTCTTACGATAAAACTAGTTGTTATGCTGTCCATTTTTTTTGAGTTTTCAATTGTGAAAGAATCAGTAAAAAGATGAAATAATTTTTATTCAGAATGTTATATAATGATATGTCCTAGTTTTCAGATACACCATTGTAAAAGAACTTTTGCCTTCAGCAACCTTTTTCTGCTTCTTTGGTATATTGGCTTTATTAAAATTTTGGGTCTTTTAAAACCCAATATTTTTCAGCCATTGAGTTGTCCCTGAAGGAACAAAGGCAGCAGTCAACCACCCTTTCCAGTTTGTATCCAAGCACGTCTAATCTTGTAACTAACCACCATCATGAAGGCCGAAAAGTTCGTGCTATATATGACTTTGAGGCTGCTGAAGATAATGAACTTACTTTTAAAGCTGGAGAAATTATTACAGTTCTTGATGACAGGTGATGGTTAATATTAAATTGAACATTCATATGAAAACAAAATTTTACTTGTGTATGTCTTTTATATTATTCCTGTTGAATGCTGTTACTAAATGAAATTTAAAAAATATCAACTCATGTTTTCTGTGTATGACACTTGTTTGCTTTGCTTGTGTCATACATACTGTCTGGATTCATATTTTGTGATTTTTTTCTCATCTATTTAGTTTATTATTTTTTGGGGGGATATCTAGTTTAATATATCATTTTTGGCTCCATCTAATGATATGGATTGTTAAACTTGTAAAAAAGTTAAGATTTTAGAAAAAACATGGAATATATAGTTATGAGCATGTATTTATGGAATTTGAATTTAAAAAATACATAATATATTGACTTTGTTTACATAGAATAGTATATCCATGTGGAACAAATTCATTTGACATGAATTATATACATTTACATTATTATCAAGAAAGTGAAGGCCTCCCTCGTGGTGCAGTGGTTGAGTGCTGGGTTGTGAAGGTGCCCTCAGCCTCTGCCGTGCCAGTTCCATCCCCGGCCACCGGCGAGGGTCCCACATGTCATGCAGACATCTCCTGTTGCCCACTGCTCCCCTCAGCAGTGTACTTCGTCTATCTGCCTGTTCTGCTCTCCTATCTGGCTCTGGTGAATTCTCTCACCTTCCCACGCTTCTGACTGTACCCAGTGCTTGTATAAATAAATAAAATAAATCTTTAAAAAAAAAAGATACATTTTGTTTACTACAGCTTTATGTTTACTTAAAATTGCTATTGATAATTGTTACCGATAATGAAGTAATAAGATTTGCAAGTGGTTTTTGGAAATGAATTCAAATAGATTTATTGTTATTCCTTTGTATCACACTTGTATTTTGACTTTTTTTTTTAAGATTTATTTATTTATACAAGAACTGGGGTACAGGCCAGAGGCACGGGAGGGTGAGAGAATTCACCTGAGACAGAGCGGGAAGCAGAATAGGCAGACTGGCTGAAATATACTGTTGAGGGGAGCAGCGGGCAGAACAGGAGAGGTCTGCCGCACCATGTGGGTATCTCCCTGGCTGGCTGGGAATCAAACCCGCGCTGCAGAGGCTGCGCACAGCTTCACAGTGCTGCACTTAACCTGCTGCGCCACTGGGAGGCCCCTAACATTTTCTTAAATAAGAGAAAATGATTTTTGAGGTGGTTCACTGGAAGTTGTGCAAAGCCTTGATCATATTCATTCAGAAATATTTAAGAGTTTTCTAGCTTCCCTTATACTAACCACTGGAGATATAATGGTGAACAGGTGTGTGTACCTGTGTACAACCTATGAATATTTTTTGCTATAAATAGTGTCATTGGTCTGTGTGTTCTCTAATGGGGAAAAAACTTGCTAATATATAGTAGAAATAGCACTGACTTAGGAATGAATATCAAGATTAAGAGTGTATTGTTACTTTTATTAAAGGACTCTCCTGTGATACTCACGAACCACCTGAATTTGACAGTTGTTAAGTGTGTTGGGAGGGGAATCTCTTGATTTATAGAGGTTTTTTTTTTTTTTTTAAATTATATCCTCAACACATTCTCCAGCCTCCCAAAGATAAAGAATTATATATTGAATAGCTCCTTATTTTCTCTGAGGCCTTATTTCTTATTTGTAATAATGATGCATTCATCATCTGCTTCTCTGGATTATGGTGCGATTCAGATCTCATAAAGGATAGATTTATAGAATAAAATTTCTTACTGTGTAGTAAAGCATTTCCTTTTGTTCCTCATAGTGATCCCAACTGGTGGAAAGGTGAAACTCATCAGAGCATGGGTTTATTTCCATCTAATTTTGTGACTGCAGATCTCACTGCTGAACCAGAAATGAGTAAGTATTTTCCAGTCTGTTAGTAGTTGATTATCCATAGATGTTTTCTTAACAAAAGTTAAGTAAATTCAGCTTTCTGGTGTGGGGTTTTCAAGGTACATCCTAGGTGTTAACTTAAAAATGCAGCTATCTGAACTATTTTTCTTTATCTTTTGATAAAAGTGTAATGAATGCAGCATGACCACATTGAGAATTCTTCTTAATAAGAGTTTGAGCCCATTTCTCTAGTATCTAGCAGTGACTTCTAAGTTGTAGAGGTGAATTTATGGTCCTCTGTCAGATATTAACTGATCATAAACATAAAAACATAGCTTTTTGATTTTCAAACCTTTGCTGATTAGGAGAAATGAATTAGAAAGTAAGACCAGGAAGGAAAAATATTCGCGGTAAAGAGGTAGGCATAATGAGATATAACAGCTGGTAGCTTATCAAAATTTCTATATATCTTCATAGTGATGGTTTGAGTCATCAAGAAAAGTTTTTGTAACCAATTCAAAATGGGTTAAAGAACTAGACATAAGACCTGAAACCATAAAACATATAGAAGGAAATATAGGCGAAACACTACATGACCTACATTTCAGTAACATCTTTAAAGACACATCACCCAAAGCAGAGATAGTAAAGGCAAAGATAAACAGCTGGGACTACATCAAATTAAAGAGCTTCTGTACAGCAAAAGAGACAGCAACCAAAACAAAGAGACACTCCACCGACTGGGAGAAAATTTTTGCACACAACACTAATGATAAAGGACTGATCACAAAAATCTACAAAGAGCTGATGAGACTCAACAAAAACAAATTAAATAAGCCAGTCAAAAAATGGGCAGAAGAGCTAAAAAGAAACTTCTCCAAAGAGGAAATGCAAATGGCCAAAGGCATATGAAAAAATATTCAACATCACTTTTACCTAGAGAAATGCAAATCAAAACTACAATGAGATACCATCTTATACCAGTGAGAATGGCACATATTAAAAAACAAAAAAACTAGCAACAACAAATGTTAGCCAGAATGTGGAGAAAAAGGAACTCTCTTGCACTGCTGGTGGGAGTACAAACTGGTTCAACCACTATGGAGAGCTGTGAGGAGGTTCCTCAATCTGCTAAAGATGGAACTTCCATGTCATCCAGCAATTCCACTCCTAGGTATTTACCCAAAGGATACAGAAACAGTAATTCAAAAGGGCACCTGCACCCCCGTGTTTATAGCAGCACTGTTTACAATAGCTAAGCTATGGAGACAATGCAAATGTCCAAAAATAGATGACTGGATCAAGAAGATGTGGTACATATATACAATGGAATATTACTCAGCAATCAAAAAAGATAAACTCATGCCATTTGCAGCAACATGGATGGAGCTGGAAGCGATCATGCGTAGCGAAATAAGCCAGAAAGAAAAAGAAAAATACTGGACTGTCTCACTCATAGCAGGAATTTAGAAAACCAAAATAAGGGACCAGGAAAAAGACTAATTATAATAAAGTAAAAATCAAAATCAACAAGCAACTGTAAACCAGAGACACACTACTAGGGATGGGCAGAAGGGAGTAGGATCAAAACAAGGGTGGTGGGAATTGTATGGGGACTGTAACCAAGATGAAAATGCATACATTGTGCAAAATGAAAAATGATGTAAAAAATATATAAAAGAGAAAAAGAAAAGTTTTGTAATTTATCTGTTTAAGAAAACAGAAATATGTTCTAGTCTAGAAAGATACCTAGTATCCATTAAAATGTTTAGTGTTTTAAAAGTTTTTTAAAAGTTTTTGTGTATAGTTTGCAGCAACATGGATGGATCATGCTCAGCGAAGTAAGTCAGAAAGAAAAAGAAAAATATCGTATAGTCTCACTCATAGCAGGAATTTAGAAAACCTAAATAAGAGACCAGGAGAAAGACTAATCAATACAAAGTAAAAATCAAAATCAACAAGCAACTATAAACCAGAGACACACTATGGGGCGAGGGCCCTTGGAGGGGAGGAGGAAGGGGCGGGGAGAGAAAGAACTAGAGTCAAAATAAGGGGGTGGTGGTGCAATTGTATGAGGAATATAACCAAAATGAAAATGCATACATTGTGCAAAGATGAAAAATGATGTAAGAATTATATAAAATAAAATATTTTTAAAAAGTTTTTGTATATAAATTGATAGCTATAGTTTGGCAAATTATTGCTTCTCATCTTTCTATAATGCCAGAAAAGGGAATTGAAGAAAGCCATACAGTAAAAGATGCTTACATTATTTTTCATTTATGAGAATCTCAAGAGAGGATCTCTGTAACAAAATCTTTGTAAAATTACAGCGTCTTTGTCTTAGTCATCTTTTTATTTCCACTAGCACATAGTACTGAGTCTTACCCAGAATACCAACTATGTACATATTTATACAATAGTTATACATAAAAATATATTAACATTAAACAGATATATATTTTTTAAAAACATAAGAACATATCTCTTTAAGGGATGTTTATAACAACAACCCAGACATTACAGATATTTGGTAAAATGATGCCCTCTTATAGTTACTGCCAGATTTTCTGGTGTCATTTTTATAAAGATAGATTCTCATTCCTTTAATGGAGTTTATTTTTAAGTTTCAAAAACATATGTTGCAGAACATACTTTAAATGGTGGTTTTTTGTTTGTTTGAATTTTGCTCAACTATTGGAAAGGACAGAATTTTCTTGGACTTGTGTCAAAATGAGAGTGAAAATGTCATGTAGCTCATACCTCATCTTTTTTTGCATTATACAGCAATGTAACTTCAAAATATTTTCTGTAGTTCTTCTCATATACATCACTCTGGACCATATAAATGAGAAATAGCAGCAAAAGAACTTCTAATTCTCAATCTTGGAAAAACAAGTGCAAGCAAGGTCCTCGTAGCAACATTTTTACAAGGAAACAGGCCCACTTAAAGTGTTAAATATAGATACCTGCCCTTCTTTGTTGTTTCTGTTTTGGAGATTTAGTAAGATGTTGTGAAAACACTATCTTTTATATATATGAAAGTAATTTCATGCATATACGTGCTCACGCATGTGTACACACATACATATACGCATAGTAATAGTATTAGTTCTTATGGAGAACAAGTGCCACAAATTTGTGCATCATCAGCTGTTAAGATGTGAAATTCACCATGTGTTCTTTTACGGGTAACAGCCAGTGAAATATGGTGCTTTCCCAGCTTTCTACGTGTTAATAGCTCAAGTAATGAAAAGCAAAAATATCTAGCAGATGTCTCTTCCCCCCTCCCCCATGGGAAAATGAAATTGGTTGAACTTTTTTTAATATTTAAAATTTTGCTTTGTGATGACTTGAATGGAATGAATATATTCTTTATGTTGGAAATTATACTGTTTTCATTTTCTGTGGAAGCGCACAGTGCAGAATATGTAATTTTGATTGATTACATATGATTTGACTTCTTGTTCTCAGTAAAATCACAAATTCCAGTGTTATGGGGTCAGTGGAACCAGATAGATTGGTATTCAAATCCAGAATTTGCTATTTATTAGCTTTCTGTTACACAAGAGTTTTTAATCTTTCAAAGCCATGGTTTACGTCATTTATAAAATGGACATATTTTATTGAATTTCATTTCCTAATTGGAGGAAATGTAATATTCCAACAAGCTTGTTTAATACTAGTAAATATTTTCTTCCTTAACTTTGCCTTTCCCATGCTTCTTTCATTTTGATTCTTAATATTTTTATGAATGTTGATTGACTACATTGATGTAAGGACGAGAAAGGACGTTCATTCCTTTAAAACTATTTTCTTGTCAGTATTATTTTGGAAAATGTTAATTGCTGTGTTGATCATAACTTTATTAGTGAGTATTATATTGAATAATTTTTAAAGATTGTTTTGTTGAACAAAATGTTGAAAAATTTGTTCTTCTGACCAATGGCTTACAGATTCCTTAGTAACCACTTTTGCATTGCAAAAATAATGTAGCTAAAAAATACAGACTCATTTATTGGAAATATCAGATCCCTGCCAGGTTGCAAAATTCTATACTGTCCTGAAAGTTGGTAAAACATCTGAGCGGTGTGCTAAAGAATATATAGCTAACTTTCCAATTCATGTTATTGAAAAATAACTATAGGTTAGTAAATGAAATATTCCATTGAAAGGTCTGGCAATTTAAAAAGAAGATTCATTTTAAGTTGCAGAGTTCATTTATGCCATTGTAAAAGTTTGGTTTTTTTGTTCTCCACTTGGTAAACTCATACATAGTAGGTAAAAACAGTCTTTGCTTCAGAAATGTACCTCTTGTTTTTAGTAAAGAATGTTTTATGGATAACATAAAATCTTTAGAAGATAAAATGAAGAAATCTTGACAGAATTTCATAAAGTAATGTTCTGTTACTATTGCCTAAATCTCCAATGTAATTATTCTTTAAATTGAGTCTTAGCCTGAAGGAGTATAGGAAAACACAAATTCTCTCTTGAAACTTAAAGGTCTTTAAAATAGAATTTTAAATTTATTAAAAGAAAAAGATAAATGTTGCCTGTTTTACAGTTAAAACCGAGAAGAAGACGGTACAATTTAGTGATGATGTTCAGGTAGAAACAATAGAGCCGGAGCCAGAACAAGCCTTTATTGATGAAGTAAGTGAGAGCAGTTCATAACTTGTTTTTGAAGTGTCTTTTCTTGCCTTCTTTTAAAAAGCTTATTACTTGATTGATGCAGGTATGTGTTCTATTATAAACATTTAAGCAGTACAGTCAAACCAAAGATGATTCTTGAAGCTTTGTCTAGTTCCAGTCTTCCCATGTCAAAATATACAGGTGTACATCATTATTTTAAATTTGTGCTTAATATATTGTAGAATGGATTTATCTTGATTTAATTATTTGTTGCATATTTAGGTTGTTTCCACTTTTTTACAGTTTTTTGTTTGGATATTCCATGATCCATAAGATTTTTTTCTGATTAGCATAAAATGATGTAACTTTTCTTTTAAAAACTCAGTATTTAATGTTCTAGAAATTATATCTTTTGTAACAGTTTAAACTTTTGATGAAAAATAAGTTATCTCTAAAAGATAACTCATGTGAAGGCATTTATAGGTTGTTACTATCCTTTTTTTTTTTTTTTTTTGGGTAGAAAACTGGGGTGTAGGCCAGAGGTGCACAGGGTAAGAGGATTCACCAGAGACAGAGTGGGGAGCAGAACAGGTGAATACACTGCTAAGGAGAGCAGTGGGCAAGACAGAAGAGGTCTGCCATCCCATATGTAGGTTAGCTTCCTTGCCAGGGATCAAACTCAGGCCGAATCTGTGATAGTGCTGAGACTTAATCCATAGGCCACCAGGGAGGCCCTGTTAATAATATTTTATGGGAGACAGAAGCAGGAAGTTTGAAGAGTGCTCTTTTATTTATTTATTTTTCTTTCTTTTTTTTTTTTTAATTGGAGGGAGTACGTTTTATTTTTATTTTTTTAATCTATTTTTTTTCTCTTAACATTGTTTGCTTTCTTTTCTCAGGTGTAGTTCCCATAGAATTTCCACCACCAATTCACCCATGCACCATCAATATAGTCCCTTGTGCTCTGCCCATCCTCATTTTGATCCCTTTTCCTCTCCTCCACTGCAGAATATCTCTGATTTATAGTTGTCTGTTTATTTTTGTTTTGTTTTGTTTTGTTGTGGGTTTTTGTTATTGTTGTTATTATTACTATTTTTTTTCCCCGTGATCCCCTATATTCCTCCTATAAGTGAAACCATCTGGTATTTTTCTTTTTCCTTCTGACTTTTTTCACTGAACATAATCCCTTCAAGCTCCATCCATGTTGCTGTGAATGGCATTAGTTTATCTTTTTTGATTGCTGCATAGTATTCCTTTGTGTACATATACCACATTGAAGAGCACTCTTTTAGAGAAATAGATTGTAGATGATTTTGCAAAGAGCCAGGGAGTCTTAACTGGGTCAGGAAAAGTTGTTTGGTTGATTTCATTACATAAAAATTGCATTAGAGTGAGACTAATGGTCTGTCTAGAAACTATATCTCTGACAGTAAATCATTTCATATAAGGTGTAGTGTTTTGTAAATAAACAAAACAAAAATTATCCATGTGTTAGTTGACTCGGTCTCATTCTCCCACCCTCCCTTTTGCTTGTCATCAGCAAATTTTTCTGAAACATGCCTTCATTTTTTAGAGTACATAAATTGTCTATCTTTTACGTTGAAAACTAGTATCCATTTCGAAACACCCAGTTCTTTTGACTTGGGAAGAATTTTTCATATACTTTCGTCATTTTATTTCTCCAGTGATTAGTTTATTTTAAAATTGCTTTTACTTCTTTACAGACTACCGTTTTAAATGGTCTTAAAAGAATTTGCTTAAACTTGATAATCTTTAAGGTATTTACCATATATGGCTATATTTAGTAGCATAACCACATAAAAGCTATAAATGGAGACGTTTCTGATTATCATAGTATTCTTTTGTGCATTAAATCTATGTTTTGATTTTTAAAAACAAATAAAAATATGTACTTACATAATGTATAGATGTTTTTATGTAATCGTGTTTTTATTTATTGCATTGGTCTTATAACAGAAGATTCTAAAATAGACCTGAGTCATTGCTCAAGATACCTTCCCACCTTTCCTTTGTAGGAGACTAGAGAACCCTGCAAGATCTTTCTCCTCCTTTTTGTGACAAATGTAAATATTGGTGGAAATAAAATGGAGAATAAGTCCTTAAGCCCCTTGTTGGAAGAACAACTGTAATATAGCTGAGTTATGCCTTACTAGAACAGCTGCTGTGTTCCATAGTGGGGAAGAAATAACTGAGTTGTTAGTCATAAGTAATGTCATCTTGCGAGAGATGTTACACCTGTTAGCATGGCTAGGCTACAGCTGCTTCCACACAAAATGATACAGAAATCCATTAGCATGACATGAGTTTGAAGAACTCACACATTGTAAGTTTAAATGTGGTTCTCTTTTTCCTCATTTAATAGTTACTGCTAGCAGTTGCAAAAATGAGTAGATAGAGCTTTCAGTGCTCTGACTAAACTTAAAGAGAATACCTGAGTACTATATACATAAAAGCAAAATTGAAAACCCTGTAACTATGAATTACACAAGTTCTCTATTCACAATCTGTTGCATAATGATTGTTGCTTTTGATCTTAACTCTTTAATTCCTATAGGATAAAATGGATCAATTGTTGCAGATGTTGCAAAGTACAGATCCCAGTGATGATCAGCCAGATCTGCCAGAGTTACTTCATCTTGAAGGTAAACCTTGTTTTCCATTTACCTTGTGAGGAAAGAATAATTAGGGATTTTATTTAGTGTTCTGTTACACAATAGTTTTTCATTTAAATAAAATTGAGAATGATATTAAAAATGGCTAACATTTCTCATTCTTCTGTGACCCAGACTTACTTTTTTTTTTAAAGATTTATTTTTATTTATACAAGAACCGGGGTACAGACCAGATGAGCGGGAGGGTGAGGGGATTCACCAGAGACAGAGCGGGGAACAGAAAAGGCAAACTAACGAAATACACTGCTGAGGGGAGCAGCGGGCAAGACAGAAGAGATCTGCTCACCATGTGGGTTGCTCTGAGGCTGGAGGGGATCGAACAGTCACTGCAGAGTCTGCGGACAGCTTTACAGCACTGAGCTCAACCGCCTGCGCCACCAGGGAGGCCCCAGACTTACTTTTATATGCAATTTAAACTTTTAGTAGAATTTGAATTCTTGTCCTTTTCTATTCAAATCGAATGTTCAGCATTTTAGAAATTGGCATTAAATTTTGGGTATCAATACTTTATTTATTTTAAAGATTTATTTATTTATTTATTTATTTATTTAAACACGCACTGGGTACAGTCAGAAGCGTGGTGGGTGAGAGAATTCACCAGAGCCAGAGCGGGAAGCAGAGCAGGCAGAAGGACCAAAATACACTGCTGAGGGGAGCAGTGGGCGGCAGGAGAGGTCTGCGGGCCATGTGGGACCCTCCTCTGGTGGCCAGGGAGCAGCCGGGGATCGAACCAGCGCTGCAGAGGCTGCGGGCAGCTTCGCAACCCAGAGCTCAACCGCTGTGCCACTGGGGAGGCCCAGTTATCAATATTTTAAATAGTCATATCTTACTTCAAAACAATCTTACTTCGGGCCTCTCTGGTGGCACAGGGGCTAAAAACAGTGCTGTGAAGCTCTCACCAGCCACTGCAGCACAAGTTCGATCCTGTACCAGTCAGGGAGCAACCCGCATGGCACAGCAGACCTATCCCATCTCCCCGCTGCTCCCCTCAGCTGTGTATTTCAGGCAACGCGCCTATTCTGCTACCCACTCTGTCTCTGGTGAATCCTTTCACTCCCCGCACCTCTGGCCTGCATCCCAGTTCTTGTATGCATAAATAAATAAATCTTTAAAAAAAAATTTTACTTTAAGAAATTCAATTGGTTCTGTGGGCTAAGTTTAATTCATACAATTTTTTACTGTTCCAAAGTAGATTCTTTATTCCTGGTATTATAGCAGTATCTGCCAAAAGGTTTTTCATGTGCTTCATTTTCTTATATTTTTTCAAATTTTTTCCTAGCAATGTGTCACCAGATGGGACCTCTCATTGATGAAAAGTTGGAAGATATTGATAGGTAAGAGCACATGTTGTGTCTATATTGTATGTTGACTTCCCTTAAGTTTTCTCTAAACTGTATATTGGAATCATGTTTTCTCTAAACTGTAACTGGAATCATGTTTGCATGAATGGCCACAGGGGCCACAGGTAACCCATATATTGGGAAACCTAGATATTTTGAGGTAAAATCACATATAAGCTAGAATTCCCCCAGCATAGTACCTGTACCTAAACCTTAAAGAACAGTTTTGATTGCCTCAGAGCTAAAATTTAACCTTGTCACAAGGTTAAATTTTTAATAGCATCTCCTTTTGCCATTATTTGCTTTTTTGATATTTTGCTGTCTTATTAATAGAACTCTAACATTTAAATGTTTCAGAAAACATTCAGAACTCTCAGAGCTTAATGTTAAAGTGATGGAGGCACTTTCATTGTATACCAAGTTAATGAATGAAGATCCAATGTATTCCATGTATGCAAAATTACAAACTCAGCAGTATTACATGCAGTCATCTGGTGTTTCTGGTTCTCAGGTAAGTTTTTCAAAACTCAAAATATATATTTGAGATTGTTTGGAATGGTTGTTTTTGTAAATGTGAAACTTTATTACTGTTTGGAATAAGTTTAGAATAATTTTTTACTTGACAATGCAATATATAGTATACTAGTTGTACCAGTAGTCCTTTGGTTAAAATTTTTATTTGTTTGTTTTTGTTTCTGCAAGGGTGTGCATCAGAATAACCCATCAGGCTTAAAAAAAAAAAAAAAAAAAGTTTTGGCCATACCCCTCACCTGTTGAATCAGTCTTCAGGAAGGAGGCTCAAACATCTATTTTAAAACTTCATATGTAATTATCGGAGTAAGGTAGTTTTTGTCTATCTAGTCATTATCTTGTTAAGGTAGTTTGTTTAGTGTATTTTCTAAAAATTATTTATATTTATAGTAATATTATATTTATAGTTTTCCATTTTATAGTGAGCTGCTCTTATCTGGAGGTTTCTCTTTGTTTTACATTCCATGTTTAATCCCTTTCTCTCTCTCTCTATTCACCCCACACAACTCCTTCAATAATCCCTTTCTACAAACTTACTAAACTCAAAGTGCAGGGAGTAATTATCTTGGTACTCTATTTTATTCATGTAGAGTGGTGCAAACTTTTTCAGACTAACTTTTTAGCATGATCTGCTTTCCCTGAAATAAAGGCCCCAGTCCTGAAGATCAACAGGTAGGCCTGAAAAACAAGGGACTAGAGATGATGTCAGTGATACCTGCTCAGGAGTCTTGATCACCACTTTGAAACAAAGACTAAAAACCCTTATGTTCAATTCATGAACTATACACACAAAAAACATTTAAGAGGATTGTAATTATTGGGTTTATAATCAGAACCTATTGGATTCTAATATATGAGTCTTCTTATGGTTTAATAGAAATACTAATGTAATTGTCTTTTCTCCTTTTGCTATCGTAATACCTGATGTTCTCTTTTTAAATTTGTGAAATGGAAAGATCTAAAGAGTACTGTAGAAAATTGCAGTGTTATGTGTGTTTAAAGTCTTGAGCATTTAAGCCTTCAATTTCTTTAGATAAAACAAGTACAGGTTTTAGATTCAGAGAACGATGACCAAGGGCCAAATCCAGCCTTCCACTTATTTTAATAAGCAGTTATTGGAACATAGCCATTCTTAATTCCTTTGTGCATTGTGTATCTGCTTTCTACTTAGGCAGATAGAGACTACATGACCACAAAGCCTAAATTACGTATTATCTGACTCTTTACCAAAAAGTTTTCTGACCCCTACTTTAGAGAGTTAGTTTTCACTGTGTTTAATAAACTGCAAGTTGAGAAATTTAAATTAAGTAAATGCAGTCTATTGATATAAAAAAATGATATAAAATACTTATTGGGCCTCCCTGGTCGTGCAGCGGTTGAGCGCTGGATTGCGAGGCTGCCCGCAGCCTCTGCAGCACCGTTTCGATCCCTGGCCACCAGCGAGGGTCCCACCAAAAAAAAAAAAAAAAAAAAATACTTCTTTAACATTCCTTGGCATACTTTTTAGGATAGTAATTAAAATATTAATATGGAAAGAGAAATTATACTATTATAGAGTTTCTAGGTGAGTTCCTTTGCTGCTTCCATGTAGACATAAACATGAGTTTAACCAGTGTTTACCTGCACAAAAATTCAGAAACCCACTTCACTGAAAAGTATTTCTTAAAAATGTTTTAAAAATGTCTGTCAACAGGGCCTCCTGGGTGGCGCAGTGGGTTGAGTGCAGCGCTGTGAAGCTGTCTGCAGCCTCTGAAGCACGGGCTCAATTCCTGGCCAGCCAGGGAGAAACCCACATGACGTGGCAGACCTCTCCTGTTGAGCCCACTGCTCCCCTCAGCAGTGTATTTCGGCCATCTGCCTGTCTGCCCCCGCTCTGTCTTTGGTGAATCCTCTAACCCACCTGTGCCTCTGGCCTGTACCCTAGATCTTATATAAAAAATAAATAAATAAATATTTTAAAAAAATGTCTGTCAACAAAAGTAACTTTAAAAAGATTGCAGAGATATAATTGTTCTTTTTCTGACTAAATCCCTCTCAAGGAAAGTTTGGGATGCCTCAGAAATCTAATTTATTTTATCATTATCTGTTTTAGGTATATCCAGGGCCTCCTCAAAGTGGTGCTTACCTGGTTGCAGGGAATGCACAGATGAGCCATCTCCAGAGCTACAGTCTTCCCCCGGAACAACTGTCTTCTCTCAGCCAAGGAGCAGTTCCACCACCTGCAAACCCAGCCCTTCCTAATCAGCAGACTCAGGCTTCTTACCCTAAGTAATTTGATTATATTATTGTTTGAATTTAGTGCTGTTATAATTCTTAAGTGCCCTTTGTTTATGTGTAACTGTAAGTAACTCCAGGATAGATAGAGCTCTGATACCAGATGTTCATTCTTGTTTGTGGTGCTGAGTGGAGGTAATGAGAAGGCATCTGTGCGCAAGTGCATGTGCATGCTTGTGTGTGTGTGTGTGTGTGTGTGTGTGTGTGTGTACATAAATGGGAAAATGAGAATAATGGTAACAGAGAAAATGGAGAATAAAAAAGTTGGAGTGTCGGGGCCTCCCCGGTGGTGCGGCGGTTGTGCGCTGGGTCGCGAAGCTGCCTGCGGCCTCTGCAGCGCCGGTTCAATACCCGGTTGCTCCCCGGCCACCGGGGGAGGGTCCCACATGGCGCGCAGACCTCTCCTGCTACCTCTCCTGCTACCCGCTGCTCCCCTCAGCAGTGTACTTCGGTCCTTCTGCCTGCTCTGCTCCCCTCTCTGGCTCTGGTGAATTCTCTTACCCTCCCATGCTTCTGACTGTACCCAGTGCTTGTATAAATAAATTAAAAAAAAAAAAATTAAAAAAAAATTAAATCTTTAACCCCCCCCCAAAAAAATTGGAGTGTGAAGTATACTTGATAGTTGTGTGCGTGTATTTGCAGTTACAGCAAATATTGGAGCTTTCTAATTCCAAGTGAAGGTTAATGTAGGTTTTTGTGATGGTGGTTTATGGTAGGCAATTTTTTTAGTGCCCCCAATTCATACCTAGGAGGCAGTTTCTTCTTCTGCAGATGATACAGGTTCTATGATTAATCATTTTTCCAGACTTCTGTTGCTCTAGGATGATTTTGGAAAAGGTGGTACTGGTACAATTTCTAAAACCTGCCTTTGTGTAGAGATGATGACAGTGATAGTGTTAAGGGGACCGAAGTTTATGTATTTGCCTACTATTTTAAATTATATTTGTTAGATATAAGTGAACATTTAGTCTGTGTCAGATACTGTGTTAGACACTTAATATACAAGTATAATTCAGTTTTTTACCCTCAAATTGCTCACTGGCTAGTAGGCAAACTCACACTAGACTTGAATAGCTGGCTACCTCTTAATTATCTTTTCTTGTGCATCTCCTAAACATCTCCTTGACAGCCAAAATTGTGCTTTGTTTCTCTCTCCCCTAATCATTAGTCCTTATCTGTAGTCTTTTTCTTTTCAGTGAGTGGCCACTCTACCAGTTACTCTACCAGTTATTCAGTTTTAAAACCTGAGGCATTCTTGACATTTCTTTCCATTGGCAAATTTTGATGGCACTGCTTTCAAAGTCTGATCCTTTCCTTCCCTCTTTCTTCACCAAGTCTACCATGACTCTTGCTGCTTGTCAGCTCTTACCTGAATGGTTGTAATAGCTTCCAGTTTGGTATCCTGACTTCTGTCCTTGTCCCAGAATGACAGCCTCTTTAAAACCTAAGTCAAAAGTCACATCACCCTCCTCGCCAAAACCAATGAGTATCTTTCCATCTTGATCAACTATAAACCAGAATTTTTACTGTGTTCTACAAGGCACAAAGTTATAAGACTCCTCTTCTCCTTAATTCTGTCACTTTAATGCCACTCTCTGCTTTGCTTACTCCTTTGCAGCCTTTGTAGTCTCCTTTATTATTTCTTGGAGATGCCTGGCATTTTCTGTTGTCATCTGTACTTTGCTTGATTATGCTTTCTACCCCAGGTAATCAGTATGACTCCTTCCCTCATTTTTTTCAAGTCTCTTTAAATGTTGGCTTATTTGAAAGACCCTATTGCCTGGAATCTCTTCTTGCAAGTATTCTTGGTCTTCTCTACTGTGCTTTATTCTTCATACCACTTATTACCATTTGACATCCTATACGTTTATTTGCTATCTTCTCGTCCTACTAATTATCAGCTCCTTGATGGTAGGGACTTCCCCATCATCTTTCATTTACAGTATCCCAGTATCTAAAATAGCAATGTTTATCACATTGTAGGTATTTAATAAATAGTTATTGAATGGATTGAACGAACGAATGAAAGTTTAATGAATAGCTTTCCTTTGTAAATGTGTATCTATAAGTCAGTGTTTATCTAATTGAGTGTTTCTTACCCTCCACAGCACAATGGTCAGTTCTGTTCAAGGAAGTACATATCCCAACCAGGCTTCAGTGTATAGTCCTCCACCTGCTGCTGCTGCTGCTGCTGCTGCTGCTGCTGATGTCACTATATATCAGAATGCAGGAACTAATATGTCCCAGGTGCCAAACTATAATTTAACATCATCAGCGCTTCCTCAGCCAGGAGGCAGTCAACAGCCACCTCAGCCACAACAACCATATTCTCAGAAGGCTCTGCTATAGGACTTGGGATTTCTTTTTGTGGCAGATACCTGCTAATTGCCACCAACAACGTAATGAGATTCATTAATATCTTAAGATTTGTTTAATCCTCAGCTTATAGGAATATATCTTGATCAGCAAGTTCAGATATTCAAGAAGGTAGAACTCTCTTCAATTTGCACTGACTTTTTAGAGTTGTCCCTCTTCTCCTCCCCCCAATCCCCGGAGGAATGAAACTACTTACAACGTTTAATTCCTTTCATAATATGAAAGAATTGATGCAAGATTATTTGTCTCATAGGATTATCTGATTTGCAAAAAGTCAAACTTACAAAAACTGTTGTGGCATATGTTATGTACATATATATTGATGTGTAACTTCATTAGTGGCCATTTTGAGTCACAGTGGTGATCATGTGAATATATTTAACACTGTTAAATTAATTTACATCGCTGTTTTATTTTAATCATGAACAACTACCATGTGTCATACTGTTTTGTGTAAATTTAAGATAATTACACTATCCTAATCTGCAAGAGAACAAAGTTGTAGCATATTTACATGAAGGCATTTTGTTGTCTATATTTCAGTTTCACATTAAACTGAACCTTCCTTGACTAATTGCAAACTAAATGTATGTATAGTATGTCTCTCTGTAGCCTCTGCATACTGCTAGCTGTCATCATACCAGCGTACAGTAGCTAAATTTTTGGTGCGATTATAGCAAATGGTGTTCCCTTTTAAACTTTTACATTTTGGCATGGTATTTCAGAATATTGTGGGATCATGAGACAGTCTTTATCTCCTATTTTTAAAGAAGTGGTATTGATTTACCTTTTCCTAGCTGGAAATAGTAATTAGGTTTCTAATCTGTATACTGTGTTTATTGGTGGCAGTGACACCAAAGATAGAGGCAATGGATAGAAATTTTTAAACTGGAAAGAAGATGTGAATTACACTACATTTTCAAAGTCTCTTGTAATTATTTAGGATATAAAGGAAATTTGATTCATCTGTCTTATCCTACCAGTAATCTTTTAAATATGTCTTTAAAACTTTGTATCCTTTAATTCTTCATTAAAATAGATATAAATAGATGTTTCAAAGTAACCTATGTTTCTTAACAATTTGCATATTTATCTTTCAGACTGGATTTGGGCACTGCTCTCTCTTTTAAAGTTCTAATGCATTTATTTTGCTTTCTATTCAGGAATATTTTTGAATGAATGCTTTTCTTCTAATCCATATGTGACGTTTCTCACTGATGTTTTAATCTTAAATATTTATATTTCCCTATTTGTACAAACTTTACTATTATTTGACACTATTATTTAAACAACTGAGAAAAAATGAGCTGAGCATCACATTCAATGAATTTAACAGATTTCATGCCATAAATGAAAATTTAATTTGTGTTTTCTAAGACAATTGTAACCAGGTAGCATATTTCTTTTGTGACAGATGATTCCTTATTTGGCAAATTATCTTAATCGTGCTTAATTTCATAGGTTTAAACTACCATTTTGAATGTAAGTGTTTCACTCTGGTGTGTTTTCCTGAGTTTTCAATATGTTACCTTCAAATAGCAATTTTAAAATTGAGGTTAAACTTCCCATTTTAAGTTCTTAATTAGATGATTTCTGGTAAGCATTGTCAAGCAGATTGTTATCTTTTTCATTCCAATGTGCATATTCTAGTTTAACTGATGACTTTTTCTCAAGTAGTATTGTATTTTTCTCTTGTCTTTGACAAATCCCTATTTATCAATGATAGTTGTGTCTTTTCCCCATTGTGTTTTGGTATCCCTTATGCTGTAAAATAATATTCTAGTTAGCCTTTTGCCCTGCAAAAGTCAAAGAAAGGTAAAGTGGAAAAGAAGCTGTCCTTATTGAAATGCATATAAAATTTTCTTTACCTTTTGTTTTGCTAGAATTATAAAGGTTTAAATGATGATATTTAAACCTGATACTGTACTAGTTTGTGCTTTTCATTTACTAGGTATGAAAATAATGTGGAAAAATTCCAATGAAGATGAACCATTTGGTTTTCCATCTTTCAAATGATGTGACAAGAACACTAATAGGAAAAGACCAGTTATGAGCACAGATAGTTTTGTTCTGAAAGTGTATGTATTGTACTTTAAAAATCTTTCTTTAAAATATAGCTGTTTCCTTTTTGAAGTAATGGAATTATTTATAAAATGAACTAACATAATGTAAATTTCTATGAAGCACATTTTACTTTTAAGTTTATTTCCTTTATCAGTTAGAGTGTGTTTCCACAAACCAGTGACGTCTTCATGGAAAACCCCAGTTCTTTTACTTATCTAGCATAAATAGCTGACAAATCCTGTAGCTAATTAGGTGTGATGATAATATTTCAGTGCTCTAAAACTTACTAGCATATACTTAATGGACATTACAGTCTTTTCTAACTCTGGTTCTCTCTCACTGTTACTTTTCTCTGCTACATGATGAGAGACCTTTTTATGTACCCAGATAGTCCCTTCTTTATATTAAAAGCTTCGACTTTGTTTCTGTACCTTTTAATTTTTGTCTTTAAAATGCTTAATAGACCACTGATATTCATTTCTTATGTATACAGCCTTCATATCTAGCTTGAAAATACCTTTAGTCCAAAGCTTCTAGTATATATATAAAAGACAAATTAAGTGTCATATGTTGTAAACTATGCAACTCTAAAAACAATATTAGTTATTTTGTAAAATAAGATACATTGGTAAAATTGATCAGATTTCTATCTGTTCAGTACATTAAAATCAGTTTTCTTTTTTTCATCTATTTCTTCAGTTTATTTCCCAATTGTACTAGTAATTATTGCTGTGTCAATTTCAAAATATTTACTAACAAAACTATAGTTTAAGTTTTTCACTATTGCATCATTTTCTAAAATTTTCAATCTGGTTGATTAGCTGCTTTGTACCACTGAGAATAAAATTATATAAGGGAAACTTACTTAAATATTTTCTCAAACCCTTGACATTCAGTTATCTTTTATTTTAGAATGATGGTTTAAGTGTTCTTGTTAAATATCTGGGTTATTTTCTCTACTTTTTATAATGACATGCCCCCTGGTTTTTAAGCAAAGCCAGACTCTGACTTTTATATATCCTCTTTTTAGTCTGTTCTTCCTTTGAAATTCCTGTGCTTACTAATATTTTTTTTCTGAAGTTTTCCTAGCTTCAACAATGTTTTCCTCATAGTATTCTATAGCATTTTAAATTTCAGTATTGCTGAACAAAATTTAGCATTTTATTGTTGATAACTTGGGGTCATGTAGTACTCTGCTGATTTTCTGACTCTCGCTTATGCTAATACTCCTACTACCATCATTTTCTCTTTGCTCCTTCTTTTAGACTCAGAATTTCTGATAAGGGTTAGGTAGTAAACTATTAAGACTCAATAATCCCCTGGATAAAAGCAAAAGAAACTGGTTTTAGTGATCTTTTGGTGCCCAGAAATGTTTTTTAAAAATGTTAAATCTGTTTTATAAAAGACTAGTGTCCAAATTTTTGATCTGATACCCTGATCAGTAACATATATTTTTGAATATATAGTATCACAATATGTATATTTCCATATTGTACACATTCTATACTAATATGTTTATATAAGACAAATTAGTGTCTTATAAAATAGAAATCTTTAAAAAGTGAAGAAAAACATAATTAATAGAAATTCTATTTGTGTGTGTGTGTCTCAGTGGTTTATTTTGTCTGTACCCTAGGTTGTGTATAGCTGATTTGGAGACCACTGATTTTAGAGGTTGCGATTAAGCAGAGAGAAAGAGGGTATAAGATATTTCTGATTGGCTCCTTGAAGTGAGTATGAGATTCAAGTTGTGCTTTCCTGACAACATTTTATGTTGAGAATTTTCAGAAAGATCAAAAAAAAATTTACATTGAATGCTCAAATACTTTTTATTTAGAGTCACTTGTCACATTTGCTTTATCTTTATATATTTTTATATATACATGTGTGTATACATGTTTATGCAGATAGGTATGTCTGTATGTGTATGTATACATTTCATTGTGTGAATAAACAAGTTACAGATGTTAAAAACTATACTTGTATATTTAGACATATATCTTGTAAGGATCAGTTCATTCTCCTACATAATCTAAACCTTTATTACATCTAAGAAAAATAATAGTAATTCTGTATATCATTGTTATCGTTGTCTCCCAGACTGTCTTCCTTTGATAAATACGTATTTTTAAAATCCAGGACACTACATTATATGTCCATTATTCTTGATTAGTTGATTTATCTTTGCTTTTATACCATGACATTGACTATTTCAAGATCTACAGCAGTTTTCTTATAGAAAGTTCCACATTCTGGAAGACTTTTTCTTTATTGTGTTTTTTAGCATTGTTCTGATTATTGTACTTATTACTTAAACGTAAAAGAAGTAAAAATCAGAACCATGTGATTTATTATTGGAAATAGTAAACCTAATGTTTTAGTCTCATGTCATAAAATTTTACATTATAAGTGAACATTGTTAGCTTTTAAATTGTAGTCACTTAATGAAGAGGATACATTTCTGTGAAATGCATAGGCGATTTTGTTGTGTGATCATTATTGAGTGTACTTACACGAACCTAGATGGTTTAGTCTGTTGCACACCTGGACTGTTGCTGACCAAAGCATCATTATGCAGTGCAGGACTGTATAGCATACTATATATTCTCAGGCCACTAATGCCACTATAGATGATATAGTTTAGTATTCATTTTGAATTGCATTCAAGAACCACTGGAGGGCCTCCGTGGTGGCGCAGGGGTTCAGTCTCAGCACTATGAAGCTATGAGCAGTCGCTGCAGCTCATATCTTCCCGGCTAGGGGAGCTAACCACATGGCGCAACAGACCTCTCCTGTTTTGCCCGCTGCTCCCCTCAGCAATCAGTCAATCCACCTGTTCTGCTTTCCACTCTATCTCTGGTGAATCTTCTCACCCTTTAGCACCTCTGGCCTACACCCCAGCTCTTGTATG